AAATGTTTTGTTTTGATATACAAGTTGTTCGGGTTTTTCATCTAAACAAAAGCGACATTAATTTCTTGACGACCTAATATACACATGATGTCTGTCTGTCATGCTCTGTATCTCATGAACAGTTAACAGTAGAACATATATATATATATATATATACTTATATCAAAATCTACCCATCGTTCGAAATGGAGTCTGTTTCGTAAGAGCGCAATATAATTCGTAGTGCTTTTTGGAAGAATTTTTCTACTGGTTGTTTGGGTTGAACTTCACGATATAATATTAAAAGTTTATTATAAAATTTCTTAAATATCTGTGGATTATTTCCGTGTAAGTACGCTAAATGGCTTAAAATATTATTAAACTTTATTTAATTCAAAATCGGGAGTTCAGTTCTAAGGGCTCCCCCTACAAAATATACCCCGAACCCCTCGGGTCCTTTGTCCGACTCTGATATGAAATAATATAGGAAGTATGATTATCAAACTGAATTTATTTAAAAAATGCTCGATTATAAAGTACACTTACTCTGAAAATATAGAATATGAAATTTCAAACCGAATGTCACCTTACATCTAGAACAGATATAGCTGCCCCTAGTTCTGATTAAATGGTTTCATCTAGCTCTTTGAGCCAAGAATGGTATTGGATGTCACTTTTATAACTCACGCACAAATGAAAGTGCAGAGCTTGTTCAACGGCTTCACGTCTCGAACCTCGGACACTTCGATTGTAACCCGACTCGTAAATTACTGGGTTAGGCCCAGTCTTTGATTATATGGAGTTACCGATATACCTCACAGTTTAACACTCCATAATATTACGTATTGTTGACAGATAACAGATCGTAATTAATTAGAAGTGAGTGAAAATGATAGTTGATACACCATAACGTGATAAGTCTCATTCATTCACACCTTAACTGCTCTGTGCTGAAAGCCTGACACAAGATGATGATGATATTAATGCTGTCAAACCCCAAGTTATTTAACTTTACAATTTTCTAGAAATTGCAAGAAAAAATGTTATCACAGGAGAAATATTTGACTTAGGTTCAGGATTTACACATTTTGCCCCTTGATAGTTCTTATATTCTCATCATTAGATGTAATATTACACTAACGATTACTAATACTATAGAGATTACATTATCCAAACTCACTTGTAAAAAACAGTGGCAAGTGGAGGGGGGATTTAGCGATATCATTGATTCTGATTGAGAAACAAGAATTACGAGCTTACTACAATCTGATCATGTGGTATCCCTGCCGGCCTGAAGATCCCTGGTATTAGGCGAAAAGCCTCTTCAGAATTTAATACAGAAGATTTAGTGTGGTTTTTCTTAAGAGAATTTGAATCATTCCCACACTCCTAAAAAAAGCAATAATGAGCTTTTCATGCAAAACTTGGCACACTGATATAAAAAACAATTAGAAGCAGTATATTCCAGCTAACCCTAGTGGACAGGGCTCGTCTACAACAGAAGGTTCTTAAGTACAGTTTACATATTTACTTGGAACGTTTTATTACTAAAAAAATTCGAAGGGAAAAATAAACTCAAAATCACCCCAGTTTGATAGAATAAAAAAAATAATAATAAAAAGTCCGCAACTGGCATCAACACATGTCAACCAATTCAAACTGGTCCTATATATATATATATATATATACAGTACTATACAGGCTTTACGTGCCGCCGCGCTGACGCCACTGATCTAGCTGAAAAAGTCAGTTGCGCATGGAAACATAACGGTTTCAAACTCCACTTTCATGTCTCTGTAAACGCTCAAAATAACCATACGCAGAAGCAGCGAAGTGCGTCTGCTAATTATGCACAACATGAATTTATTATGTTTTAAACTCCAGCAAGTAGATTTCAAGTCTTAACATTTCTTTCATTGTTTATTCAGATCGAATTTCGCGCATTTTCAGTCATTAACGCTTTAATTTAAAAAATGTTTGTGGCGGGTGTACTGGAAATCACTGAACAAAGTTGAAATCCCTGTATATGATGGGAACCATGCATGCGCCCCCCCCCCCCCACCACACACACCCCGCACATCAAGCCAAAGGGTTCCGTATCCTCAGCGCCTCTACTTCAGGCGCCATTGTTTTCAGTCAACCTACTAAGGCGACCCAAAACAGAGCTACCATTTTCGAGTTATTCTTTCACTGAGAGGGGCTCACTTAGCGTGCCGGACTGTAGAACTAAGGTTCCTTGGTTCATGGCCCATTACTGCCAAAAAAATCACGCTTCGCACTTTGAAACCTTGGGTGCATTTTAAGAATGGTGTTCAACCCTTTCTATTCAGTCTTACGAGAGTGAACCTAGTCTCCTTTCTTTTAACACTAACAGTGAGTGACATTGGATTCAGAGTAA